ACCAGTTCCTAGCCAGCCTCCTACTGTTGGATTTGGAGGATTAGTATCAGATCTTTGCAGTTATGCATAGCAGTAGCAGTATCCCTGGACATCTTTTCCTAGAAAGGTATAACGTGATTTGAGCTAAGCAGAAACAAAGTTCACACCCAGAAGAATGAAGTTAGCTGGAAGGTCCTGGCTCCTTACTCCTTTATAACAGGCCATAGGTTTAAAGTCCGAAAGGGCTCGGATTTCTACCCCATGTTTGACATCTCAGAGGGCTGAGCTGACTTCCCTGTACCCTGGCCCATGGCAGTGACATGAAGGCATGGCAGCCCTGAGGCATGTGGGGACAGAGACACCAGTCACACTGGCGTGTGTAACCTCCACGCTCTTCTCTCTGGCTCTTCCAGCGTGGATGAGAGGTGACCCTGCCTGCCCACTGTTGCAGAACACAAGTGGATTAGCCTCAGGTGTTGCTGGCGAGTGGCAAGAAGAATGAATGGGGAGCAGCAGTGACATTTAAGGCTCAGTGGGACTTGCAGAGGCATGATGGGAATGCAGAAAGGCAAGGCACAGACAGACTGGACACAGCTGGAGGCAGCTAGAATCTGCCCAAAGGTTTCTAAGAGCTGGGCTCCAGGAAGAGTGAAAAAGTCTACAGCTAAGGAGCTAGGGGTCCTCACAAAGGGTGGCCTTTTCATCTCTTTCCTATGCTCTCTTCCTTTTTAAGTCACACCTATGGTTTATATAAAATATACTTTGAGTGTTCAGTTTAAATGATGGAGAGGACTGTCCTTATCTATTTGTAGCCAGAAACTGCTTCTTTGTTACTCTTTTCCTAGCACAGCATCCAAGACAAAGTAAGTGCCCTGTGAAACTTTGTTGAAGTGAAGCTTTGTTCTTCTGAGTCACTGTTAAACTCCAGGGTGGGATTCCAGTCCCTCAAATTGAGGTCAATACTTTGTTCTTAATAGAGCCTAGGCAAAACCTTGGTTATTTGCTATTTTTGTTTGTCCTGTTGTTTTGTTTTTTCCTTTTCAATTACTTGGTTGTGATTTGATACCTTGCATGGGTTGAAAAATGTAGTTGATTTTACTTTACTTTAAAACTTTTTTTTGATAGGCAAGAAGCAGATTTATTAATATCCTTTGTAAAGAGTTTACAGGGGCTTCCCTGGTGGCGCAGTGGTTGAGAGTCCGCCTGCCGATGCAGGGGACACGGGTTCGTGCCCCGGTCCGGGAAGATCCCACATGCCGCGGAGCGGCTGGGCCTGTGAGCCATGGCCGCTGAGCCTGCGCGTCTGGAGCCTGTGCTCCGCAACGGGAGAGGCCACAGCAGTGAGAGGCCCGCGTACGGCAAAAAAAAAAGAGTTTACAGAAAATGGATCATGGGAGGATGGTCATGTCCCAGGTCTTGGATGAGTTCCTGGGACAGGCCACCAAGTGAGGGTCCTTGGCTTTGTGCAGGAAGAATTCAAGAGCAAGCCATAGTAAAGTGAAAGCAGGTTTATTGAGAGAGATACACATTCCACAGGCAGAATGCGATCTGTCTCAGAAGACGAGTGGCCGTAGTTGATTTCTTTTCTTTTTTGCGGCCATAGTTGATTTTATTGACTCTCATATAGCAAACAGGGTGTCTCACATTTAACAGATGCCTTCGTAATACCATTAACTAATGTAATTCAAGATGTATGATGAGTTACCAAAGACAAGTAAAATGCCTAATTCTGTTTTCCTTTCTCTGTGTGCATTTCCAACAGAGCTCTCAACCCCATTGATATCAAGTGCTGAGGAGACTCACAGATCTGAGCACCAAGAATTCAGGTCGGTCCTCGGCACATGGGCGTCAGCATCGTCTACTAGCTAGTAGGATGGAGACCACACCCTTAAATTCCCAGAAGGAGCTAACAGCATATGTGGATGGAGAAGACTGTCAAGGAAACAGTGTTCTACAGAGGGGTGTCCCTGTCCCCGGGGATAAGGCGGAGTCCAGCCAAATCTCGAATGGGTACTCGGCAGTTCCAAGCCCCAGTGCAGGAGAAGACACTCAGCATTCCATCCCGGCTGCCACCACCACCCTAGTGGCTGAGGTTCATCCAGGGGAACGGGAGACCTGGGGCAAGAAGGTGGATTTCCTCCTCTCCGTCATTGGCTATGCTGTGGACCTGGGCAACGTCTGGCGCTTTCCCTACATCTGTTACCAGAATGGAGGGGGTCAGTATCATGGGCTGCAAGCAGAGGCTGTGACCCAGGGGTGGTCTGTAGATCCTCTTGGGAGGCCAGAGGATAAATCATGTCTTTTCTGTCTTGTTTAACTGATAATGCATCTGGGAACATGGTAGTTAGCCTTTCAAGCTAGTCTAAAAGACACATCTCCAGTAAGCCAAAACTTTAAGTCAGCATGTCTGTGGCTCTCTGGGTCATGAAGTTGAATGAAAGCCCTCCTGAACCTGACCTCACCAGATTTTCAGCATCATTAATGCTTCATCTGTGGAAGAGCCCCCTTCTCATCCCTGCATTATACAAGCCCTGCTCTCCTCCACGTGAGACATGGGGGAATGAGCATCAGCATTATGCTGAGTTCTTTCACTCCTGCTGGCTGGTTCTGCTCAGAAGAGTCCAGAGAGCTTAGATCTGTGAAAGGAAAAATTAGGAAGTGGCTCCACGTTCCCAGACCCTGCTGGGCCTTTGGACCTGTGTGAGGGCAGAAAGGGTGTCAGCTCAAGTCCACAGTCTTAAGTTACAATCTGGGCGTGATCCGTAGCTGAACCCAGCCACGTTAATGCCAGCACCAAACCATATATGGATATGCCTTATAGCTCCTACAAGAGTGTTAGATTCTTGAGGCCAGAGACGATTTCTTGTTCCTCCTACTATTCCTAATGCCTACAGAGCAGTTTATTTGCAGATTATCAAAAATAGTAGCTGATTGTAGGCATAGATATGGGAGCCCCAGAGAGCAGAGCAGGTAGGTATGGGGCCTCTGTTTTGACAATGGACTTGCTATCAGAATAGGAAAAGGACCAGAAGTGGGAGTCAAATCTTTGTTTGTTTATTTATTTATTTATAAAATTTATTTGGGTGCACCAGATCTTAGTTGTGGCACGTGGGTTCCTTAGTTGCAGCTCATGGGCTCCTCAGTTGCGGCTCGTGGGCTCCTTAGTTGCGGCATGCATGTGGGATCTAGTTCCCTGACCAGGGATCGAACCCACACCCCCTGCATTGGGAGCGTGGAGTCTTAACCACTGCGCCACCAGGGGAGTCCCAGTCATTTATTTTGACAGGAGCTCTGGCAACAGATTTAGGAGGGTAACTAAAATGAGGTTTGAGGGATAATTCGTTTGTGTCGCCTTCATTTCCTCCATGACCTGACACAGAGTTGCCTGGATCTGCTGCATCTTTTAAGGACCTGGGTCCATTCGGCAGCAAAGGCTATTCCGGGAGGGTGGGGGGTGGAGGGAGTGCCGGGAAGCCCAGCGTTCCTGGCCTGGGAGGGGCAGTTGGAATCATCTTATCTCTAGTTTGGGAGGACCCGCCTGTAGCCTGAGCATTATATAAGGGGTTGGGTCACCGGTGATGTTTCCCCTACACTCATTCCCTACTGTAAAGCCAGTCAAGCAAACCTTTTGGACAAATGTCATCATGAGAATACAACATGGTTATTATTCTCAAGCCAGATTTACCCAGTGTGATTGTAAGTTAGATGAAACCTTTCTGAGTTGCACAGATTTCAGATTTCTAGGTTCAGAACACTTTATGGGAGGGAAAGTTATCAAGGAAATATCACAGCCGGCTCACCCTTTGGGCTGAAACTCAGGCTGCAGGTGAGCAATCCCCAGCACGGCATACCCAAATTCTGCCTCAGCCACAAAAGCCAGGAGACACCAGCATCTCCAGTGATGCAGCAGTTCTGCACTTTCTCATTCTGTAGCAAACTACCTGCAAATTTCAGCCACACCTGCAAATCTGGCTCAGGAGGGAGCATTCTGGCTCCGTGGAGTTATGGAAGTATAACCAAACATCAGTAGTCAAGTGTCTGGAGCCAGGGATACAGATGAACAAAGATACTAATTCAGTGATGTGCAGTAGTCAACAGACTATTGCAGCTGTTGTACAGGTTGTCGCAGGAGATCTGTTTCAAGGGTCCCAAATGCTGGTCAATGTACTGGTTGCATCAGAATCACCTGGAGAACTTAAAAAAATCTTTGTTTTACTCATACCTGAAGCTTCTGCTTCAGGAGGTCAGGGTGGGTGGGTGTTTTTTTTTTTTGGGGTGTGTGTGTGTGTGTGTGTGTTTTTAAGCTTACCAGTGATTATGATGAGTGGCTGGGTTTGGGAACCTCAGTTCTCCTCAACCCTGTCAGTTTCTAGTGGAAGAAAAAGAGGCCCAGAGAGAAGGGTCCTCCAGGCAGTTAGAAGTGGAACTGGTCCTAGGGCCTCTTCTGTTGACTCCCAGACCCAGTTTCCTTCCCACATACTCTTTGCCTCCTCCCAAACCTCACTTCACTGTGGAGCTCTGTCTACGACTACTTCTGGCAAAGGATTAAGACCAGGGGAGCACCGTGTGAGGTCACTAGGACAGGGTGGCTTCATGACTCTGGAGCATCAGATGGCTCTGTGTGTCCAGATCACTTGGGCTGTCCTGAGTCAGATGTGGGCAGGGAGTGAAACTGTCTTTTATCTGCCTCAGGGGCATTCCTCCTTCCCTACACTATCATGGCCGTTTTCGGGGGCATCCCGCTCTTCTACATGGAGCTCGCGCTGGGCCAGTACCACCGAAATGGATGCATTTCGATATGGAGGAAAATCTGCCCGATTTTCAAAGGTAACGGAAAGGCTTGGGTGGGTGAGTGGGTCCTCCTGGGAAGTGATGATTTCTATCAATGGGTCGAGCTGGACACCTTCTGGAATCAGTTAGGCCTTAGGTATCCCTGGGAGATAACTTGAGTAATTAAGGTTTTGACTGCTCAAGCAGTATGAGATTGTTAAAAGCAAAATAGAATAAATGGCAATTAAAAGTAAACGAAATAGAAAAAGCATTAATAGCACATGTACACATTTTCTAGAACATGTAACTCTGCAAATACAAATAAGGAATCTACCATATTGCCACTTTCCCACTGTCTCCTGGAGTCTTTGGAGGATGAAATGAATGGCAGCCCCACCTTTAGCCCTCACCCGGGCTGCAGTGCCCCTGATGCCCTGCCTAACTGCTGGGCTGCCCTTGAAACTTGGCCTCCCTCACCCTCTCTCTCCCAGGGATCGGTTACGCCATCTGCATCATTGCCTTTTACATCGCCTCCTACTACAACACCATCATGGCCTGGGCGCTCTACTACCTCATCTCCTCTTTTGCGGCCCAGCTGCCCTGGACCAGCTGTAAGAACTCCTGGAACACTGGCAACTGCACCAACTACTTCTCCGAGGACAACGTCACCTGGACACTCCACTCAACATCCCCTGCAGAAGAATTTTATACGTAAGTGCATGTAAGCGAGGGGGTGGCCTGTTAGGGGCAGGCCACACCCCTGGGCTTTGGCTTCTTAGGAGGGAGGTGGGAGCCAGGGGCTCTTCACCTCTTGGCTGATGGATTTCTGAGAGATGAAGCTATCGGGGAGGGGGAGTAAACGTGAGTGAAGGAGTTGGGAGACTACCTTGAGTGCTCCACAGTCTGGGTCTCTGCGCCATCCCCCTCTTTTCTGTTGTGCCCAGGCCAGTCCCTACCTTCACATTCCAAAATTATTCCCCTGCATCAAAACTGCCCTTCTTCCTGGGCCCTCCTTGCAGCCAGCTGTCATGGAAGCAAAGCCTCCCACTACTTCAATAGTTTGAAACTACACAAAGAGTTTCTGGTTTCATGTATTCACTTAATACGTGGGATCTACCCTTTGGAAGAAGATGCCTGGAGTAGGCAGTTTTCTTTAATGCTGGAATTTCAGGCAATAGCAGCCCAAAGGGAGCTGTTTTGGGGTGGGGAAGGGACCCACTGCCCACACATACAAATCCTCATGCACCCAGAAGCCAGTCATGTTAGTCATTCATTGGGTCCCAGCCTAGGAAGGAGACCTGGAAGTCTGCTTTTGGGTCGAGCGCTCTTCCCAGGCTTGGTTGGCTTGACTGCCCTGTTCTCTCCTTCAGGATGGGCAGAGCCCCTCCCAGCTCTTCCCGAGGCTTGCTGACCACTTGATCCTTGCAGTACTGTGTCCGTTTTTTCTCTTGGTGTCCTCCCAGAGGTATCACACGCAGTATGCTCAGGTAACTGTTCAGACCACGTCACTGGCCCTTCTTTCTCATTCACTCAGGCGCCACGTCCTGCAGATCCACCGGTCAAAGGGGCTCCAGGACCTGGGGGGCATCAGCTGGCAGCTTGCCCTCTGCATCATGCTGATCTTCACTGTTATCTACTTTAGCATCTGGAAAGGTGTCAAAACATCTGGCAAGGTGAGGAGGACTCTGGCTGCTGATCCAGGCCTACCAAGGGGCCCTGGAGGGTCTAACTCAGAATTCAGTGGCCTGGATAGCCAGAGACAGGGGGACATGTTTTCCTTTACACCAAACACATTCCATGATTTTCAGTGTCTCGTCACCAAATCGGTTAGAAAATTCTAGAAATGGGTCAATCCCAAGAACCATTGTATGATTTTTTAAAAATTCCTTTAACACGCTGGTAGTGTCATAACTAATAATAGTGGCAATAATTTACTGAAAACCCATCATGGACCATGTACAGTGTTTTGTATACACTGGCTACTTTGTCTCCTGCTAGGTATTTTCCCCATCTTACAGATGGGGAGTGGGTTTAGAAGTAGTTAGTACCAGCAAGCAGGGAATCAGATCCCTGTATGATTTTAAAGGCTGTGATCTTTCTGCCACCTTGCCTCCTAAAATTACAGAAAAAAAAGAGGTAGATCTTCTTTCTTGGACGTGTTCAAGAATAAGACACCAGCATTCATGTGGTGATAACCTATGTTTCCTTCCTTACAGGTGGTTTGGGTAACAGCCACCTTCCCTTACATCATCCTTTCAATCCTGCTGGTGAGGGGGGCCACCCTCCCCGGAGCCTGGAGGGGAGTTCTCTTCTATTTGAAACCCAACTGGCAGAAACTCCTGGAGACAGGGGTAAGATAATGAGGAAAGCAGTGTGCACCTGTCTGTCTTTTTACTAACTGAAGCTAGTCCTCCGAATAGGACAGTAGGAACAACTGAAATTTGGGTTCAGCGGCAAGTCTGCAGTGATGCTTTAAACCAGAAATACAAGCATGAAAAGTACAGTTGAGGGGCTTCCCTGGTGGCGCAGTGGTTGAGAGTCCGCCTGCCGATGCAGGGGACGCGGGTTCATGCCCCAGTCCGGGAAGATCCCACATGCCGTGGAGCGGCTGGGCCCGTGAGCCATGGCCGCTGAGCCTGCGCGTCCAGAGCCTGTGCTCCACAACAGGAGAGGCCACAACAGTGAGAGGCCCGTGTACCGCAAAAAAAAAAAAAAAGTACACTTGAGGCCACTGCATCGGTTTATGGCTAAGTGATAGGAAGAGAACTCACATCTGTTTGCACTTGGTATGTGGCCAGCCCTGGAAGGAGCCCTGAGAAGCCTGTTTTTTTGCCTCTGCATGTAGCCACATGGAGGCATGAGGGCGCTGGCCCTGCTGGTGCTCAGCGATGGCCTGGGTCTCGGCCCTGGCCCTTACCTCTGCTGTGTTGCAGGTGTGGGTGGATGCGGCCGCCCAGATCTTCTTCTCTCTCGGTCCTGGCTTTGGGGTCCTGCTGGCTTTCGCGAGCTACAACAAATTCAACAACAACTGTTACCAGTGAGTATCTGGGGCCCCCCCAAGCAAAGCTTGAAAGTGGAGTGAGTGTCAGTCAGCTGGTCTGGAGGAAAGCGATCAAACCGATGGCCTCAAACCTGGCCAGGCTTAGGCCACGTTGACACTCTGACCCTCAGGGGTGCCACAGGTGCCTGACCACTCACCCAGACCATAGCCTCACTCAGGCGTTGAGAGAGGCTCCAAGGCCACTTCTGTTTTGTGAGATTCTCTATATGTCAGGAAAAATTAAGAAATTCCAAAGCAGGTTTACAGAAATCACAACATACATTCAATGTTTAGATTTGACCTGTTAATGTATTTAACAACAAAAATTGTGATAATTTATTTGTGTATATATATACAAAAAGAATAATGATTGAACTATTTTGACCAACATAGAATGCCATAATTTTTATGTCAAAATCTCATTTCAGAAATGTGACAAAACAGGGAGCATGGCGCCAATTATGATTTAAATATCACTCCTCATCTTTAGAGTTAACTTTGTCTTAATATTCTATCACAGATGGCAATGTCCAGCAGTCTGATTGTGCTATTCGTAAGATAATTATAGAATTAATTTTTTTTTAAAAAAAGGAATTTACATGCACCCTAAGCAGTGTGGCCTTGCATTGGGACACCAGCCTAAAGTTGTATGATGAAGTCCTCTTTTAGAAGTGTCAGGATATCTTTGTGGAACTCTTATAACCTCATTTACACATAATGTCAAAAGTCTAAATCTGAGGTCTTCACAAATGTAAGGCCAAGGCCTCCTCCTGGCCCCGGCTGCAACTCAGGCCCTGCTTCAGAACAAGCCTTGTTTGAAATCCAGAGGTCTGTGCTGTGCTGGTTTACAACAAAATCATCTCTTAAAACCATCCCTGACTGCTGTTCTCCCCATGCCATGCGTGGTGATAACAGCAGCTTGTGCTTCAAGGTAATGCAACCCGTCTGAGAGGCTGGGCCCTGGGAGGAGGGGAGAAGACACCCGGACAGGCTTGAAGTCCCTGTGAGCTCAGCCCACTCACCCTTGTCACAGCTGGAGACAGATGCTCCTTAGATCCCTGACTTGGAAATGTCTCAGGCCCCTTGGGTTTTCTGCTCCAGAGACGCCTTGGTGACCAGCGTGGTGAATTGCATGACGAGCTTCGTTTCAGGATTTGTCATCTTCACAGTGCTGGGGTATATGGCTGAGATGAGGAACGAAGATGTGTCTGAGGTGGCCAAAGATGCAGGTAGGACCTCGGGTTTTGTTTGGGTTCCTGGCTCCCACTGAATTGCTTTGCTGCTCTTTGGATCTTTACAAATATCTAACTTTTGCATTATTTCTAAATGTTCCTCTTAAAATTCTCAAAGGTTTTAGAGAAACTTACTGCCTTGGAAATTTCAACCCTTTCCATCGTGGTAATGGGGCAGCTCCCTCGGCACCCAGTACTGGGGCCTTGAATACATTGTGGGCTTGGAAATATGACTTGGATGATGGCTTTTAAAACTAGTGGGTTTGGGGGACTTCCCTGGTGGTCCAGTGGTTAAGACTCTGTGCTCCCAATGCAGGGGGCCCAGGTTCGATCCCTGGTCAGGGAACTAGATCCCACATGCATGCTGCAACTAAAAGAGCCCCCATGCTGCAACAAAGATTCCTCGTGCCGCAACTAAAACCCAGCGGCAGCCAAATAAAACAAACTAACTAAAAAACAGTGTGGGGCTTCCCTGCTGGCTCAGTGGTTAAGAATCCGCCTGCCAACGCAGGGGACATGGGTTCGAGCCCTAGTCCAGGAGGATTCCACATGCCGCGGAGCAACTAAGCCTGTGTGCCACAGCTAATGAGCCTGTGCTCTAGAGCCTGCAAGCCGCAAGTACTGAAGCCCACTGGCCTAGAGCCTGTGCTCCGCAGCAAGAGAAGCCACCGCAATGAGAAGCCCGTGCACCGCAACGAAGAGTAGCCCCCGCTGGTCACAACTAGAGAAAGCCCGCGCAGCAATGAAGACCCAACACAGCCTAAACAAATAAATAGATAGACAGATAGCAATTCCTATTTAAAAAAAACAAAACAGAACAAAAAAAGTGTGTTTGGGTCCTGTGATGGGTCCAAGTCTAGTAAGCAAATGATTACTAATCCTTTGCAGAAAAATTAAATGTAGATGATGTAGCACTCTACTGTACTGTAAGGTTTCATGGAAAAAGAGTGACAGACGTTGAAAACGAGGTTATGGGATCTTGTGGATGGAGTCCCAGGGCTTTCTTGCAAACATACATCTGTCTTTAGCCCGACACGGTGCTCTGATGAACTCCATGCCCCAAACTAAGGGCGGCCTATCTAGTCCATGAGAGGTTGAAGACATGTCCCTCATACTATCAAAAAGGACTTCAAAATAGCTGGAGGTCTTTATTCCGAGGCCGCTAGATTCTTCTGAAATCAGTATAACATTTCCTACTGTTCTGGAGCTAAAGAGGGAGCTAAACGCTGTGAGACTTCAGAGATATATCAATCCTCATGTTGAAAAAAAAAAAGCACTGAATTATTATATAGTGGACACTCCAATTCATGTGCTCAGCTTTGCTAGTCTTGAGGTCTCAGGTTTGCTTTGTTTCTCCATGTTGGTTGAGGGCGCGTACTCTTCAAGGTGGATACTATTCCCTTCCTGCCTCCCAGGATGTCCAGGTAGGATGGTGTGGGGTGTGAGGAAGCGTTTGGTACATGTCCAACCCTGATTCACATGTAAGGTTTTGTGACAGGAGTTGTAATTGTTGGTGTGGCCAAGTTTCTCCTGAGACATCTTTGTAGGGCAGGTCTCAGCGACCACCTCCTCCTCTTTCCCGCTCTGTCTCAGGCCCCAGCCTGCTCTTCATCACATATGCGGAAGCCATAGCCAACATGCCGGCATCCACGTTCTTTGCCATCATCTTCTTCCTGATGTTAATCACACTGGGCTTGGACAGCACAGTAAGTGAATGGGGAGGGAAATCCGGCTCTCGGGAGGAGGGAGAAGGGGGGGAGGAGGAGGGGAAGGAAGCTGTACCCATTCCTTCCCATCCTGGCCACCCCAGGCCATGTTGGCTGCTCCCTCTTGGTGCTCCCTCAGCCCCTGTTCACTTGGGTGCTTACTGCCCTCTAGTACATTAGAGGCATTAATGGGATATTGAAGGTAAAGTGCCAGGCACAGGCCAAGAGCTCAGCATATGTGAACTGTTGTGCACTGATTGTGCACTGTCCCTTGACCAGACTGGCAGCACCTGAAGGCCAGGGCAAGGTCACACTTGTGTCTCAGTGCCCTGCAGCCCAGCATTCATATCATTAGTGTGGAATGAGTCTCAGGTTTCAGTTGGCATTTCTGGTGCAACCAAAGTCTCCCCGAGACACCTCATGTAAAGAAGTCCTGTCCATGTGCTATACTTTCTTTCCTTGATGTCCTTAGGAATGGGTTCTAAATGACAGGGTAAAAAACAGAGATATGTTTCCAGTGAGGGCCGGTGAGTAGGGGAAACTGGTCACGATCAGCTTGACAGGTCACTTGGCAATTTAACCCCTCCCTTCTGTTCACTGTCCTAGAGGTAACAGATTTGTCCCAAAGTCTACACAGTGACCATTTGTGTGCCCCTCTCAGTTTGCAGGCTTGGAGGGGGTGATCACAGCCGTGCTGGATGAGTTTCCACACATCTGGTCCAAGCGCCGGGAGTGGTTTGTGCTCAGCGTGGTCATTACCTGCTTCTTTGGATCCCTGATCACCCTGACTTTTGTGAGTACCAAAACCCTAAACTTAGAGTCAACCTCCCCTAGGGCAACAGAATGTTACAAGAAGCTGTTCCTTTCCATCCCACATGGTGCCCTGGCTTTGGAGCCAAAGGGAGAGAAGTTGTCACCGCTGTTAAAAAGTTAGTCATCAAGGAGAGGAAGAAAAGTTGTTTCTAGTGGCATCTGTCTGAAGAATCTGGGCGTGGTATCTGGAGGCTCAGCATTTTACAGCAAATCCAACTAGATTTAAGGCTTGACAGACTATCTGGAGGAAAACTAAGATGTGTCTTTTCAGTCTATTTCCAGTCCTTAGGGCTGCTTTCATAGGAATAGTGCCCTGATGTCCTGATATGCTGAACATCTGGAGGCTGGCATCTCATGTTTGTAATGTCACTTCATCTCCTCCAGAGAATTTGTAATGGTAAAGAAGTTAGACCTTCTCTAGTGATTTTATTTTTTTTGGGGGGGCGGGTAGCTTAGGCACATACTGTCAAACTGTAAATCAGGCATCAGATAGTACCCATAGGCACTGTAGGCGTGTATCCTTCTGACTCAAGGCAGATTTTGTAGATAAACATCTTCAAGCCATGACCCCAATGGCTCTGGAGCTTCAGCAGGGTTGTGGGGCCCTGAGTAGGACCCAAGGGATTTGTGAGTTAGGACAGAGGCAAAAACCATGACCACTGGGCCCGGTGTGTCTGGTATTGTAGATTTTCCGGGGTAGAATACACAGTAGGTATTCAGTAAATTGAAGAAAGTTGAAAACAGATCCAGAGGCGCTTTTGAGTTTGTCTTAAAGCTTAGTGGGGAGTGGAAACCAGACGAGTGACCTGTAGGGCGGGAAGAGGTGTGTCTGATGGGATGAAATCTTGCCCATCTGCCAAGGCCAGTCCAAGAAGTAGGCTCTGGGACACTTATGTTAGACCCAAGGAGAGAATTTTCCAGAATTATCCTAAGAAGGTCTTTTTGCTCCTGTTGTAAAGAGGAGGCAGTGCCTTAGAGGGCCTTTAACCGGGTTTGTGGTCTCATTTCCAGGGAGGGGCCTATGTGGTGAAGCTGCTGGAGGAGTTTGCCACGGGACCTGCAGTGCTCACTGTTGCCCTGATAGAAGCAATTGCTGTGTATTGGTTCTATGGTAAGATGCTCCCTTCCACTAGCTATGATCCTTCCTACACCAGCCCATATAGCCACCAGAATACAGAAGGGCCGATGTCGTCAGGGAAAAGCAGGCCAGTGTACAAGACGTCACCTGCTGCATCCCTTCTTCAAAAACAGGTCATCACTTCCTCCACACTCTGTGCAACAGATTGCCTGCACTCCTGGGAGGATGATTTTTTCTTCTGAGTTTATATGTTTACCCAGTGGAGACAGGGCTGAAGTGGTTCCCTATAGCTCATCCACAGTGGTTGCTTACGATCCTGACAGGCTCTAAGAATTGGACAGACAACAAAGAACTAGTGCACAGTGAATGCATTTGCAGAGTGTACAATATTCTGCTGTTACATAGAGTGGCCCCACTTTAAATTTCACAAACGAGCACTCCCTCCAGAGCCCTGAGACAGAGTTTAGGAGCTTATCTTCTCGGGAAGAGGCAAGAATGTTCTTGTTTGCATTATCTGTCTTGGTAAAGCCTCCAATTTACACCGCCCCCACCCCCGGCCCCCCAATCGTGGGATGGAATCTGATAAGGGTGAAACCACCAGGAGCGGAGAGAGAGCTGACACAGGTTCATGGGCAGGGATCCCAAGAGCCCCTGGGCGAGGATGAGGAGGGCACAGGCAATGGAAATGAAGAAAACCAAGTTCAGAGATGCCTTTCTTCATCTTTAAAATCAAGATGTGATGATTTCATTCTGAAAATATTTTCCTAGTTTCTATGATAGCAGAACAGCTTTAGCATGTGTGTCATTACACATAATATAAAGAAGGGGGGGCCCACATTTTGAGTTGCATGTAAGCCCCCTTTTTTTTTTTTTTGAAAGTAGTCCTCCCCACCTCCTCAGCACTTCGGAGGACCAAGTGCAAGGTGTGTGATGTTACAGACCTGCTGGGCACTTTCAGGGAAGCAACTGCAGAGCACCCTTCCTTCCCCTTGTCGATTTCTCCCCCAGTCCTCACTTCCATGCCAGTTAAGAACCACCTTGATCTTGATCTGACATATGAATGTGCAACAGTGTGGTTAAAATTTTCTCTTCAAAGTTTCCAGCATATGGTTAGAGTCAGTCTCTGTCAAGTGGTTTCACCATTTTTAGACAAAATTCCACTTCCTTTTCTACAGTAACGATAAAATCAGATATATGCTGAAATCCTAGAAAGGCAGTGTGGGCACCAAGAGGGGACTTTAGGTCCCTCCCCATATGTCCACCAATCCTCCCACTCTGTGTAGAGAGAGCTTTGCTTACTGTAACGTGCATTTTTGTGACAAGTCCCCCATCTCACTTTCAGACCAGACTGGTGACCCCAAGCCCCTCCTTTGGAGAAACTCCAGAGCGGTTACTCTCTCTGAGAGTCAAGGGATAGGAGGACAGTCTAGCTCCTCTCTCGGTCAGTCAATCTCGTTCTCTTTTGGATGATTTTAGGCATCAATCAGTTCTGCAGTGACGTGAAGGAAATGCTTGGCTTCAGCCCTGGATGGTTTTGGAGGATCTGCTGGGTAGCCATCAGCCCTCTGTTTCTCCTGGTGAGTTGTCATTTCCCTTCTCCTTCTTGCCCTGGAGAAAGATTCACCCTCAAACACTCATAAAAAAATAAATTTTATCGAAGTGTAACATATATATACAGAAAAGTGTGCAAATCACAAGTGTACATCTCAGTGAAATTCTATAAATTGAGCACCATTTTGTAGCTAAAACCATACCAAGAAACACATGACCAATACTTCACAAGCCCCTCTTGTGTCCCCTCCCAGTCACGTGCCCCCCATAGTTAACCACTCTTCCGGTTTCTGTCACATTATTTCATCCCTCCCCGGCTCTGTGATAATGACACATAACGTTCACTGAGCAGTGAGTGCCAGGCCAGACTTTACGCTAAACTTAACACCCATTGCTGTTTCAACTCTCACAACAATTCTATGAAGTAGAGTTCTAGTTCCCCATTTCACAGTTTCAGAGAAATTGAGGTTTAGGGTCCAAGGTCACATGACAAGAACTGTTCAAGGCCGGGGAAGTATTTACTGTGCTGCTCATGAAGGACCTAACAAGGGTCCTAGTAATTCTGTATTCATTTTCTTAAAGACCACCCCCACCCCCCACCAGGTTTCTCAGGTGTAGATCTGAGTCAAAAGTAGAATCCATTCATTGTAGAATGAGAGAGCTCAGCTCCAAGGGTTGCCTGTTTGCCAGGACGTGTTCAGTGCTGACTCCAGCCTTGCTGCATGTGCCCCCACGTCCCTCCTGGTACCCGTCTGAAGGAGATGTTTGCCCAAAGATGGATAAGCACCATGCTAACATCCCAAGTGCACTCTGAGGTAGCCTGGGGTAAAGTGACTCCGTGCACATCAGCAGGGATTACTCTCAGTTCTTTCATTTATCTGTAACTTGATTTGGGGTGGGGGGAGCTTTTTGGTCTTTTAGAGCCAGAGACTGTTCCTTCAGTCCAGCTCCTGCTTATTAGGATATCTGGACCATCCATTTCATCATAGGACATGTATGCATCTGTGCCTTCCCCTTCTTTCAAAACAACCCTTTTTGCATTCTATTTTGACACTCTCGGGGTAGTTCTTTTTTTTTTTTTTTTGCGGTACGCGGGCCTCTCACTGTTGTGGCCTCTCCCGTTGCGGAGCACAGGCTCCGGACGTGCAGGCTCAGCGGCCATGGCTCACGGGCCCAGCCGCTCCGCGGCATGTGGGATCTTCCCAGACCGGGGCACGAACCCGTGTCTCCTGCATCGGCAGGCGGACTCTCAACCACTGCGCCACCAGGGAAGCCCTCGGGGTGGTTCTTTATTTTTTGTGCTTTTCTGTACCTGCACATCTCGATGTTAACCTATAAGATGGACAGCGTGCTCATTCTTGCCTCCATAATGCTGCACGTGTCTCTCTCTACCCCAGAATCCCTCCTTGACTTCCATTCCCCTGGACCCTGGAGGTTTCCAGAACCAAAGCCAACCTTTGCCCCAAGTAGCAGATACTCTCAGGGCCTAGGGGCTCTGGTGTGTGCTGTGGGCTCCAGTGTTCCTCTAGATCTTGGCCTGGTAGTTCCTTATTACCTTGTCAGCTTGCTGTTGCTTTTTTGGTAAATTTAAAACAATGTATTTTTAAATCCAGAAATTTTAGTTGTTTTCAGTGAGAGGGTTGGTCTGGATCACTATTCTGCCATTAGTAGAAGCAGAAGTCCTGACATAAATGGGTTATAATATTGTTACCAGTGCTTCTTGATAATCTACTTAAATCTTTTCATTTGTTTTTCAAAGGAAGGAGAGATATTGGATTAGTTCCCTGAGGGAAGAAGCCATGTTTGTTTGTTTGTCTACTTTCATATTCTCCACACAGGGAGGGAATGATGTTCAGGGCTGAGACTCAGGAAAGGCAAGCAAGGCACTCATCCTGGACGTAAAATTTCCAGGGGTGCCAAAAAACTCAGTAGTCAAGATAAATACTGCTTTTTTTTTTTTGGCTGCATCGCGCAGCTTGTGGGATCTTAGTTCCCCAACCAGGGATCCAACCCTTGCTCCCTGCAGTGGAAGCATGGAGTCTTAACCACTGGACTACCAGGGAAGTCCCGATAAATACTATTTTTATGCAGTAGTTTTTAAAAATCAAAATTAATGCAAAAAAAATCCCTGATGAACAAAATACCAATGTTTTAAATAAATACGGGATCCAACCATATACTTGCATGTCTCACTTCACTCACCTTGCCCTAATCTGGCCCTGTCAGAGCTTGTCTTTTTAAAGTATTGCACTAAAATATTATATTATTATTATTTCTTGATTACTGAAATTCTGACATCCTCTTAAATGTTGTGCCCAAGGTGAATATCTCATATGCCTTACCCTAGTCCTGGCCCCAGGCTTTTAGTATTTTCATTTCTGTGGTTGTCTGGCAAACTGGGTGAACTCTTGGTGTACAGCCAATGAGTTTCCGTGCCCAGCAAAACCCAGGTACAGATCTGGGTTCAGGGACATGACATAATTCCTGTGAAGTTCACTCTACTCACTTCCTCTAAAGGTAAGTGCTCCAGGGCCCAGTTAAGAGGAGGCAAATCTGTCTTCCACTTCTGGGTTTACTTAACAGATCCCCTGCTTTGGGCTTTTTAAAGCTGCTTTAGGTAAACAACGAGTAGCTTACTAAAAATATTCTTTTTCACTGAAGCCAAGTTATAAAAAAGAAAAATATCGTATATGAGCAAGAGGAGGTGGGGATGTGCGAGGGGGTGTCTGGAGCAATACTTAGTGGCCACAGTGAGAGCTTGAGGCCTCCCTGAACTGCATTAGGTTTCACACACCTGACATCAAGATGAGACGAGTTACAGCAGGGATGGCTCCTAACCAGACCCCACCTTTCCCTGTTTCAAAATTACCTTTCTCAGTAGCCGGGTCTGGGGCTGAGGAGAGTCTGTCCAGAGAAAGGTTTGCGATTGGCTGGGCTCCTGTTTTGAAAGCTTCCTCCTGGACTCAGGATAACACTGTTCTGAAGATGAATGTGTGTTTAACAATTTCCCATTTTATTATGTGAAGAGAAAGAAAAAAAAGATATAAATAGATGTTTAGGCCCACAAATAATTTACATTACTGTCTTCTTTATGACTATGAAATAATAAGATAAAATTAAATCAAAAGCAATAACGATTTCAGCACAGCGGTTACTAGGCAAAAACTGGTATTTACGCTGTCTCTGGAAACCAAACTGAAATAAGAAAACTCATAAACCGAGTACTGGGAGCACACCATGGAATTTTTCTTGGTCGGAATCTTCACTGAATTTTCACATCAAAAGTGTATTGAGCTGCTTTTTCCTTCCATTATTCTTTTCATTACAAGGGCCTGTGGCAGGCAGTCATTTATTATCAAGATGCCTCACGGCAGAGCCATCCTTGTTGAAATCCCAGTTCTTAGCCTGGGGTTAATGCAAGGAAAGGGGGGAGAAGGAGAACTTACTTAGGAGCCTGAGTCTTCTCCAGGTCTTGAGAACCTTATTACGTCTCCTGGACCTAGGTACCTTCCATCTTACCAAAAACAATCACCACAGAGAAACGCAGGAGGAAATGAAAACAAAGCAGAAAGAAATATGAAGCCCTAGGACTGGCAGGAGCTATGGAGAGGTCTCCCAGTTTATTCCTCCACTGTCTCACAAATCGGGGCCTGAACCACTCCTGATGGATGCGTCTCTTCTCCTTTGCCCTGAAAGGGGCGCTGTAACCCCCCTAAATAACCTTCTGAGGCCTTGGCATCCCCACTGTAGGGGCTGAGGTGGGGGTAGGGAGGAAAATCAAGATAAGCCCCTAACCGCTTCACTGTTGGCAGCTGAGGCAGAGAAATTAGTGACTTCTTTGTGTCAGAGTTCAATCTAGGATATATCACACTTAGGCAATTTCATGAAAGTGTCTTAGCTTTAGTGTTCAGTGTTTGTGGTATATGGACTGTCTCTGTGTGGATAGCGTGAAAAATTTTTAATGTTTCTTGGAAATTCTGTTTTAGTTCATCATTTGCAGTTTTTTGATGAGCCCACCACAGCTACGACTTTTTCAGTATAATTATCCTCAGTGGAGCATCATCCTGGGTTACTGCATAGGAACGTCATCTTTCATCTGCATCCCGATGTATATAACTTATCGGCTGATCATCACTCCAGGGACACTTAAGGAGGTATGTGCTTGTGTGTGTGTGTGTGTGTGTGTGTGTGTGTTCAGATTGGTAACTGTTTGGGGAGAAAAGGGTTCTCTTCTTATACTCTATTCAAAGGATGTTAAGTCCGCCACAAGAATTCACCAGGAGGCTCTTAGTCTTATATAATTATATAACTATACCATCGTGTAGCCTCTAATAGCTGCCACTATCACCTTAAGGCATCTCCCATAAGCCACAAGTACAAAGGCGAAAGAGTGAGCTGGCCATGTGGATGCACCGTAGCACACAGCTTGGTGTATAGCATTCTAAACATATCAGAAAACTGCTTTGCCTCCTGCATGGCATTGGGCATGCACATCAGATCAGTGGTGTCTGGAGCAATAACGCAAATTTGATTTAAGTGGATTTAAATTAAATCCACTTGGTTTAAGTGGAGATTATGATGGAAAATGCCTGTGGTCATTTTCTAACAGCAGTGTGACAAGGGCTTTTTTTAAAAAAATTTATTTATTTATTTGGCTGCGTTGGGTCTTGGTTGCTGCACAGGGGCTCTCTCTAGTTGCAGCGAGTGGGGGCTACTTACTCTTCGTTGTGGCGCGTGGGCCTCCCGCTGCGTTGGCTTCTCTTGTTGCAGAGCACAGGCTCTAGAGCACAGGCTTCAGTAGTTGTGGCTCGCGGCCTCCAGCGCGCAGGCTCAGTAGTTGTGGCACACAGGCTTAGTTGCTCCACGGCATGTGGGATCTTCCCGGACCAGGGCTCAAACCCACATCCCCTGCATTGGCAGGCGGATTCTTAACCACCGCGCCACCAGGGAAGCCCTACAAGGGCTGTTTTGAAAATCACTAAATAAGGGTGTTGCAACAATATCGTAGTTTTAGTTCAAGTCACTGGAATGAAAAAAAAAGTTGCCATTTTAGCAAGATTCATGTCAGTAAATGAATAATGTGCTGTAAAAATTTCAATAACAGAATCTTACAATTTGTATAAGATTGTATGTATTTTAAAGCATCTTCATGTAGACTGTTTTATTTTGTTATCAAAATACTTTGTGAGGTGGATGGGCAGGTATCATTAGCAGACAAAGATACTGAGTCTGGGAATAATGCTGCTCATAGTTTCCTTATTTCAGTGACTTGTCCAGGGATACACAGTACAGGGAGGCTCAGAATCCAAGTCTTCTGGTTTTTGGTCCAATGCTCTTTCATGTTTAGGTGCAGCTTCTCTTTTGTGTCCTCAGGGTACTAATAGTTTGCTAATGTAGAAATTGGCTCTAGAGGTTAGGGAGAGATGAGTTGCCACTTTTCATCCTGTACTGACAAGAGTTAGTGTTCAGGCTGCCAGGATTCCTAGCAATGTTACCAGAATCGAAAATGCTTGGGTCATTACTTGTTTGGTTGTGTTTCTTGCCATAGTAAGGTTACTGTGGCAGTAGAGCCTGAAGGAGCGGCCACTTAGAAGTCTGTGGGTGGGTGCTTTTGTAGGAGACAAGCTCAAAGGTGAAGAGTGGTATTTGGGGGAGAGCTAGAGGGACCTGTGCTCTATAATGACCTGAGAGCATAAGTGGGCTAGTCTACGGACTCTTAGAAGCAAAACTTAAATATCAGATCATCATACTCATCTTCCTAAAACATTTCACAAGAAACACGAAGCAAGAGAATGTGAGGCCATTAAACATCATCTCTTTTCTAAGAACTGAGATTGCTTCTTTTTCCAAACAGAAAAACTGAATTCTAGGTGAACGGAATTAGTAACTCTGCCAGGAGTTACTAATTTTCTACACCCAAAACAGTCCTATCACAACCTCATTCCTCCCAAAGGGGCTTGGACTCTGGTGTTGCCTGAAATACACGCTCAGACAAGAGTCATTGTACTTGCTACTTCAGGTTGTCCTTTATGGCAGTCATGATAGTCCACTGGCCCAGCTGACTCAAACCCAGAGTCCAAGGTCAGGGGTGGGAACTCTAGTTAGGTTAATAAATTTCAGTATTCTTTGGTCACAGACTGTACCTCAAGTCTTGATCATCTTTCTTGCAAATTCCCCGTTAGCCACAAGGAAATGCCACCCAACGGTGTATAATTAACAGAGCTCAGATCCATTAGTAGTAGAGGTAAGGCCGATTGCAGGGCCATGTTTGTCATAGGCCACCAGATGGGAAACAGTGGGTTACCAGGAAGCATCATGATATAGCTGGTCAAGGGGGACTAGGAGGGAAAAGACTATGGCAAGTCATTTACCTGCTCTGGGCCTTAGTTTCTTCATCTTTAAAATGTGCTCATTGAATTGGATTAACATTTCCAAAGTATGTTTTAAGGAGTAGTAGTAGTTCCACGGGATATGAATAAGTGTTACTGCTGGGGGAAAAAGGTTACGTGGTCAAATAATTTTGGAGAATGCTGGATTAAGGCAAGGTAAATAGGTCTCTTTACTACAGGATTTCTCAAAAGCCTTAACACGCCTATGTGCATGCTTAATTTCTGATAAGAATAAAGCATGCCATGTTTTTGCCAAGCACCCCAAGGGACTAAAATTTTTTGTGAATACCAGACTTGATGGTCTTGAACATTCTATCTATGAGGGAGGGAGAACTCATATAAAATTTTGGTATGGTTAAAAAGAAAGTAAGTAAATTTCTTAACTCTTCTGGGCCCTAGCCATATACAAGGCTACAGTTTGTGGAGTGAGCCACCACTTACTCACCTGTAATTTGGAGGCTATCATGTGCATCTGCAACCTGGAAGTCTCAAGGTTGGAGTCATCAACTGGATTAGGTCACTGCCCCCAGAAGCCCCTAGTAACCTGCACAAAGACACTGGGAAGATGGTCCCTAATAAGTAAGCATTCATGAAGATGGCAACAGTGATCCATTGCTTAGATGATTGCCTTGCAGAAGGCCAGGGACTGGCAAATTTTGAGAGCGATAGTAACATGGCAACTGGAATGCTGCTGAAATATGGAAGACGAAGGTGGACCTGGCATTTGGGGAGATCAGCAGCCAGAAGGGCAGGAGAATGGGCAGGTGGGGGCTAGGGCACAAAAGCCAAATGTTCTACTTTACAGTGTTGTTTACTGTGGGTCTTGCCTCTACCCTAGTTACAGTGATGTGTCCAGTTCCCAATTAGCAAGGCCTAATTCTCCTTAATCAATTATGGGTTACAGATTCATCTGTGGGAAAGGATGGTTTGTGAAATTTTGCTTTCTATGACTTGACATGTCCAGGTAGTTGATGAGCACTGCAGCAACTCGTTTTTAAATGGATTTCCAGTGTGAGATTTTAGTTCTTGAAATATTAAGGTCATTAGAAACACAACATGTACAATTTTGTGAACTTCATTACCTATGAGAATGGGAACTTTTAAAATTCCATAGGCCCTGCTCCCTAAAGAAGAATCAACCCCCAGAACCAGGAAATAAAAAAAACTGAAGGGGACTACATACTTCTTCAATCCAAAATAAAAAGGACAAGTAGCAGAGCTTCACCTAAAATCAATAAATCAAAATATGCTTTCAGATCCAATTTTGCCTTGCTCACCATATGTACAGACTTTTGGCATCAAAGAGTTTACTGAGCAACTTACTTAACAAAGATTTTCTTCTACGCTTCTGCAGTGCTCCCCACATCCCTGAGCTGCTTCATGTCACTGATGCTAAGTTTTGCAAGGCAGGCTGTATATTTCATACCCAAGCCCAAGCATATTTCAGATCTGTCCCAAAGCTTCTGTGTACCTCAGCTGTTTCTAAAGTAAAAATTCTCAGCCTTTTCCCTGTGCTAAGTACTACATCAACATGAGATTGCTTTACGAATGATGATTTAAATGGGCACATCTTTTAAAATTTAATTATGTAATAATTTGCACCCTTGTATGAACTAACCAGTGCTCCTTAACAGGTAAATTCATTAAATCAGTAACATCCTGGCTGTTACAGTAGCTGATGGCACTGTGCACTGTGCCTGTAGCATGTATGCAGGCACAAGGAGCATGGCTGAGGTGGGGGGAGCCAGAATCCAGAGCTCACTTTGCTTCCCAAGCCCGGTGGGCCACATGAAGCCTCCTCTGACAAGAGAAAAGGATGCCCTTTCCCAGGCCATCAAAGGCATGTTACAGGCCAGCAGAGGTTCTATTGAAGGTCCATCATTTCTCCCATTAGTGTTATGATGACTTTCTTAATTAGTTTACAGATGTTTATATAGTTCCTGAATATGCCATTTTTACCCATATTTGAGAACAAATAAATTGCAGATTCCTTTCTTAAGGAAAGTCAGTAAGACTATTCCAATTTACTATTAAATGCCATTTAAATGCTACTTAACCTTTGTATTAATATTGAAAAAAATTTTAAACTGTTAAATTATAAGAATATTTATAACATCATGTTTTCTTCCTAACAGCGTCTTATTAAAGGTATCACTCCAGAAACACCGACAGAAATTCCCTGTGGGGATATCCACTTGAACGCTGTGTAAAACATCAATGAAAGGAAAATGGCTTCCCAACAAGCTCTTCCTCCAGTTCTGACAAGTCACACCTCGCCTTCCCCCTCTAAGTCAATGAGCTGCCAGCTAAGCCTGCCGATGGAAGGGCCTTCTTCATAGAGACACAGTCCCAAAAGACTATGGTGCCCAGACTCTTATGGCCTCCAGCCACTTATTTCTGTGAAATCTCCCAGACATGTTATCATGTTAGACTCTGTGATGCAGCTGAAGTGGACTGCTTTGGATGTGGGAGGGTGTGTATGGAGGTGATGAAAACCACAATGTCGTCAGTTAGGATTAGGTTTAGGATCAAGTCTGTGAAAGTCTCCTGTATCATTCCTTGTTACGATCATCAGTATTTAACATCGTTTGCTTCCAAAGGTTTCACTGTTCATGAATGCATAAACCATTTAGAAGAAAACAGGGATACTGTCTTGCTAGCCATATATTTCCTGAGTAGCATAGAATTCTACTATAGCTGGAATCTACTAGAACCCTGTAACCTGTGTACTGCTCTGGAGTCAGGAGAGGAAGATGTAAGAAGCTAAGCTGAAAAATAATGTGTACATGTGAGCATGTGTGTTTGTGTATACTGTTGTTCCAGTGTATCCCTATCTCCATTCTAATACTTTGGGCCCATTACAAACTTTATGAATTTCCTCTAGTTTTTCTTAAATTAACAAATTCCACCTACTGAAATGTGTATGTATGTTATTATTTGAAGGGTATAATTACTACAACACACTCTGCCACCCACTCCTTTTCCAATGAACTTTAGCCCATACATCTTCCTTTATGGGCCATGCTTTAGTATTTCTTGCACTTCACTGCCATCTTCTTGTCTCTCTCTGCTAAACATTCAGGATAATGTTCCACAGGCAAATCCGGCCTATTTCATTAGTCACTGTGGCTTGGCTATGAACTACTTTGAAGATGAATATTGATAAATGCATCTTCAGTGTTCAGTTGACTATCTGGTTTAAGCTCTACTTCAAATGACTCAGTTTAACCATTAAGGTTACTTGGCTTTGTGAAGAGTGGATAAATCAAATTTTCACAGAGTGTAGAGCTCTGGTACCCTGACCTAAACCAAGGTCATCCTCAACCCAAAAGTAATTGGAGAATCTGGGTTAGCCTTAAATGAACCTCCTCCCAACCCCTTGACCCTTCCTGGTTGGCTACCAGGATACTGAGCCCTCCAGATAATTTTCAAGACTGAGTCTAAGTAAGCCTGATTGGAAAAGGGTCAGTTAAGTGAATAACCTTACATGCCACATAAAACCCTTAATACAGATCAAGTATATTTGATCTTCAGTGGCTTGGGACTCTCAGATGCATAGGTAGAGAAGCAAATTTTACCTAGTAGTGTGAGATTTCCTTACCAAAATCTTAAAGAGAGTAAAGCCTAGTCAATGATAAAAGGACTCAATGATCTGGCCCCATATCACATCAGTCCTCTATATAAATCTAACTTAATCCTAACCTTATAGAAAGATCTATATAGCAGAAGCCTAGTTTAATCCAATTATAGAGCTTCCTCCCTTGGCTTCCTTTCCCCAACAATATTCCCTGGCCATCTTCCTGTATTCCCCCTACATTCTTCTATTGCTGATTCTTTGCTTTTCCTAGCAGAATATTTTCCTCATAGATGTTAGCTGCTGAGAAGTTTCCCAAAATATTAGAGGAAAAGAGAGGGAGATTTAAAAATGACTCTTAACTGACCTACCTTCATTATCTTCACTCTTTCATTCCTTCCTGCTACCTCATGTCTTCTCTTTGCTTTCTAGCATGCTGAAAGGAGAGAGGTTATATAAGTGGCAGCATATTCAGTAGTAAACAGCTTTGCAAATTTAAGAACTTGCTTTATAAATATATTCAGATATGTATTCTCCCCATCCCACACACACTTATGCATTTTCCAAAGATATCATTTTTTAAAAAGCACTTTTTCAAACAAAGTTTTGTCAAGCCAGGTGTTATACAGGTGTTTTGAAAAGTTTTCAAATGTCACTAGACAGGAAAAAATTCAACATCTCTCCTCAGCATAGTTTGCATTTACTTGACCCCTATTTATCAATACTATACCATGGATTTTTTTTTAAGGAAAACTTGAGTTGGTAAATGGACTTTAAAATAATCTTTTAAAGACCTTTTACATCTAATGTAGCATTTACATAAAAGTAAAAACTAAAAATGGAATGAATTGTAAAGTTATTTAAGTACTGAAGTTAATTTTTTTTCTGTGATTTTATTAGTGAGAAATACCTGAGAAATAGGCAAGACACAAGCAAAGGCATGGAGGCAGTTCAGTTGATTGAGGTTGTTCCTATATGTTGACATGTAATGGAGTCCAAAGAATTCATCTTTATTCCAAAAAACTTGCAACCCATTTAAAACTTATTCCATTTGTTGTGTGGAATGCATATGACTTGTAACCTAAATTCATTGCCCTGGCTGCCCCATGTAGAGATGGATGCAAAGACCCCAACAAACCCAAAGTCAATGTATTAGCTCCAAAATCAAACAATCACAATCAAACCAAATAATGAATCTCAAATTAAGGCAAAAAGTTATTCTTGAGATAAGTCACTCTCTCATCGTCCCTGCTTTTTAGGAAACTTGTTAATTTGGTGCCACCAACCTCAATATTTAAGTGTAAGTATGAATTTCCATTTAATTCACCCACCCCACCCTGACCCCTTAAAAGGGAGATTATTCTCCTAGAATTAGAACCATATTCTTTTGATAATTAGGAAAGGCTGACCTGATACATTGTATCTGTTGTATAACTGATTTGGAGGTCACTGTCAAGCAAAGCTTAAAACCATGGAATGCAGTGGCTTAACTGTGCTGTTCTTACACATTTTAGACAATGCTTAGCTACCCAGTGGTACAATCCACACCTGGTTCCTTTCATAGCATGTCTCTTTGCTCATAAATCAACATCTGGTGCTTAAGATATCATTAAATAAGGCAGTATTCAGAAGGCATTTTCTACCCTCCCTTTTTTCTTTTATTGTCAGAGATGGATGGGGAAGTGAAATAGCAGATTCCTCAGAGAGACTATACTACAACCTGTCATCCCCATAAAGCAATAAAAGCAAAATAGTCCTATGCTAAGTGGAAGAAGTTGTATACTTTTTTTTTTTTTTTTTTTGCGGTACGTGGGCCTCTCACTGTTGTGGCCTCTCCCGTTGCGGAGCACAGGCTCCAGACGCGCAGGCTCAGTGGCCATGGCTCACGGGCCCAGCCACTCCGCGGCATGTGGGATCTTCCTGGACTGAGGCACGAACCCGTGTCCCCTGCATTGGCAGGCGGACTCTCAACCACTGCGCCACCAGGGAAGCCCAGAAGTTGTATACTTTAAAGTCATCATTATTTAAAAACGCAAGGAGAGTTACACAAAAGGCTCTAAATTAGGAAGGGGACCTTAGAAAATGCTTGCTTGAGAAGTATGTTAGAGACTGAAATTTATAAATCCAAATATGGAAAGAAACCCATTAAGACAGGGAATATTCTTACACTGTGGAAAGCTTTCCTGGTCCACTTGAAACATTCTGAATTCTTTTCTTCAATATCAGAGATAAGTCTGATATTTATTAAAATTTGTCACGTTCAGTTCCATGGAAGGACTATTTTAAAAGCTCTAAATCTTTTTTTCTTACTTTTTATAGTATCACCTCTTCCCCTCATTGCTTAACTGTCTCTAAATTTCAATGATAGGACAATATTTTAAAGTTCAGATAACTACATTTAGAGGCAGAAACAAACCTAGCTAATTTCTCTACTTTTCTTGGGATCTGGAAGTTTCTAAAGGAAGGTGAGCTTAAGTTTTATTTCCTCTCCTAGAATGAAATAATGCCCCTCTCAATTGTTTAGCAGGCATTTACCACAATGGAAAAGATGGAATCTTAAATATGTCTTTCCTTTTGTTACATACAGTTATAATTCATTCAGTACTGTTTCTACATTAGGTGTTTCAAAACAAATCATCTTTTCAGGAGAAGTCTTTATTTTTTGGAAATAATTCACAGTATATTTCAATTGGAATTTCAGGTTGTATTTCTCTTACCAACACATCATAAAATTCACACCAAATTGCTCTGCCACCAATGCAAGTTTTTCCCTTAAGTTATCAAAAAGAGATTATTTCATTGGCCAAATCTAATTTGGAACCAGTGTGCATTGGTGGGGCATGTCATCAGAAGAAAGTTTTATGTCTGCTGAACTAAGAAGAACCTTATCATTTAGGAGAGAGAAAAAATGATTTCAGTCATTTTGTAGAACTGAAGACTTCAGTTCTACAACTGAAGACTACAATTATAGTAGATAATTTATTTCTAACAATTTGTAAACACTGACAGTCCAAACAACAAATATTTAGGAAGGAGCAGCTAGCCCATCTCTATGCTAAAATACCTAAATTTCCATAAATAAATAAGAACATCTGCTGTTTTTTTTTAAAAAAACAATTTGATTCTTACTCAAACTCTAATATGGTAAGTGTACCTTATCTTAAAACTTGATACATGAAAAATGCAAAGTTTAAAGGATAAAATTAGGGACTTTACATAAGAATTTGCAGTTATTTCTCCAGTGGCATTTAAAATATGATTTGATTTACAAAAAACATTTTCAGGATACTTTGTGTGTTGAACATATCAATGAAGTGCTTCAAAGTGTGGATTATATACAGTTAGTTGAATTATATAAATGGTATTTCTTTTTCCTCATCTTTCCTTTCTTCTTCCATATTATTTAGAGCTAAGAAAAATAAATTTCTTCCACTATTCACCTGTCAACAGTGATAATATGAAATTTTCCATGAAACATTATTTTTTACATGAAACGTGTTTATTTTTAAACTTCAGTGACAGAATTAAACCTGTTTTATTTATACAAAATAGGAGTCCCCTCTTTAAGATGCATGAAATGTCCATGTATACATTTATGCAGTTTAGTCATAAATGTTCCAAACTGTATTTTAAGGTATCAGTAAATGCCTTTTGTTGTGAACTATTACTGTAATAACTCATAACATCAGGATGAATAGATTCTGTCTCATTAAAAAACAAAACAGAAAAAAAAAATTAAAAAAAAAAAAAAAACAAAACAGAACAAAACCAAAAAAACCTTTCCAAACTCTTAAGGTTAAAAGAAAAATCTTAACTGTATATTGTCAAAACATTTACACATCCCCCAAAACATCACTGCATGTGGGACTTCCCTGGTGGCACAGTGGTTAAGACTCCATGCTCCCAATGCAGAGGGCCCAGGTTCGATCCCTGGTCTGGGAACTAGATCCCACATGCATGCCACAACTAAGAGTTCGCATGTCACAACTAAGGCACCGGTGAGCCACAACTAAGGAGCCCGCCTGCCACAACAAAGGAGCCTGCCTGCCACAACTAAGACCAGACAGAACCAAATAAATAAATATAAAATCACTGGATGTGATTTGCAAATACTTAGCATCAAAAGTACCTAGAGTTAGAGATATTAAATTTCAGTAAAGCTAAATAAATTACTACAATTTTTGCAATTTGTGCAGAGCTTCAGTTTATAATGTGCTTTCACATAGATCATCTCATTTGATCATCAGAACTCTGGGTGACATGGGTGACAGTGTTACTTCCCCCATTCTGCAGATAAGGAACCTGAGGCTCAGAGAGGTCAGTTGATTTGCCCAGGTTCACACAGCTGGAAAGTTCTAGAACAGGCCTTATACCTAGGTTTTCTGATTGCAGGCCAAACATTACTTGCATGTCTTTCTTTAAAATCATCACCCATATAAAACTCTTAAAGAGAGCATAGGCAAAACATTCTATGACATAAATCATGCCAATGTTTTCTTAGGTCAGTCTCCCAAGGCAATAGAAATAAAAACAAAAATAAACAAATGGAACCTAATCAAACTTACAAGCTTTTGCACAGCAAAGGAAACCATAAACAAAACGGAAAGACAACCTACAGAATGGGAGAAAACATTTGCAAATGATGCGATGACCGACAAGGGCTTAATCTCCAAAATATATAAACAGCTCATACAACTAAACAACAAAACAAACAACCCAATTGAAAAATCAGCAGAAGACCTAAACAGACATTTCTCCAAAGAAAACTTACAGATGGCCCTAGGCACATGAAAAGGTGCTCAACATCACTAATTATTAGAGAAATGCAAATCAAAACTACAATGAAGTACCACTTCACACTGGTCAGAATGGCCATCATTAAAAAGTCTACAAATAACAAATGCTGGAGTGGGTGTAGAGAAAAGGGAACCCTCCTACACTGTTGATGGGAATGTAAGTTGGTGCAGCCACTATGGAAAACAGTATGGAGGTTCCTCAGAAAACTAAAACTAGAACTACCATATGATCCAGCAATCCCACTCCATATGATCCAGCAATCCCACTCCTGGGCATATATATCTGGACAAAACTATAATTAGAAAAGATACATGCACCCCTATGTTCATAGCGGCACTATTTACAAATAGCCAAATGTCCATCGACAGATGAATGGATAAAGAAAATGTGGTACATATATACAATGGAATAGTACTAAGCCATAAAAAATAATGCCATTTGCAGCAACAGATGCAGCCAGAGATCATCATACTAAGTGAAATAAGTCAGAAAGACAAATACCATATGATATCACTTACATGTGGAATCTAAAATATGGCACAAATGAACATATCTACAAAACAGAAACAGACTCACAGACACAGAGAACAGACTTGTGGTTGCCAAGGGGGAGGGGAGAGGGGGAAGGATGGACTGGGAGTTTGGGGTTAGTAGATGCAAACTATTACATTTAGAATAGACAAACAGCAAGGTCCTACTGTATAGCACAGGGAACAATATCCAATCTCTTGGGATAAAGCATAATGGAAAATATTAAAAAAAAAATAATGTAGGGACTTCCCTGGTGGTGCAGTGGTTAAGAATCCGCCTGCCAATGCAGGGGACACAGGTTCGAGCCCTGGTCTGGGAAGATCTCACATGCTGCAGAACAAATAAGCCCGTGAGCCACAACTACTGAAGCCCACAAGCCTAGAGCCCGGTGCTCCGCAACAGGAGAAGCCACCACAATGAGAAGCCTGCGCATGGCAACGAAGAGTATCCCCCGCCCGCCGCAACTAGAGAAAGCCTGCATGCAGCAGTGAAGACCCAACACAGCCAAAAATAAATAATTTTAAAAAAAAGAATGTATATATAACTGAGTCACTTTGCTGTACAGCAGAAATCAACACAACATTGTAAATCGATTAAGAAAATGTCTTAACTAAAAAAAAACATCATCCATAGAAGCCAAAATACAGATGCTAAATTCAAAAAGGAAAATCATGAAGGATGTGTTTCCAACAAACAAGGACATCTCCTACATAACCACAATAGGACCATCAAAATCAGGAAAGTAACATTGATACATTACTGTCATCTAATCTCAGACACCATTCAATTACGTCCTTTTACCAAAACGTTCCAGTCTAGAACCACACGTTCATGTCTCTTTTGTCTCCCTCAGTCTGCAACAGTTTTCCAGACTTTCCTTGTTTCATGAACTTGACACTTGAATATTACAAGCTAGTTACTCTGTAGAGTTTCTCTCAATTTGATTTGATACTTGACTCATGATTAGCTTCAAGCTAATATACATTTTTGGCAGAAATATCACAGGAATGATGTTGTGTTCTCAGCACATTCTATCAGGTTGAGTATGATTCAATTTTTGTCCCCATACTAGTGATATTAACTTGAATCACTTCATTAAGGTGGTATCTGCCAGACTTTCCACAAAGTAAAATTCCTTGTTTTTGTAATTAATATTTTGTAGGGGGTTTACTCTGAGACTGTGCAAATACACTGTTGTCCCTCATCTAACTTTCATTTTTTACGGATTCTTATTTTATTCAATGGATTATAATCAATTATTATTCATTTTGATGCTCAAATGGTTTCATATTTAGCCAGTGAGAATCCTTTCAAGCTGGCTCCGGTATCCTTTGACATGTCCCCATCATTCCTGGAACACTCACTTCCTTACCTTCTGGAGTAAGATGTTACAGTATCATCTTGTACTTTCTCTGCCACAGCCATTTCTCCAAGAAGTCCTGGTTTCTTTTAGTGAAGAATGTATTTAGAAACCGAGATCTAGATGCCAGGTATGCTCATTGGAGTGTGACTGATCCCGTCTTCTCACATGTGTGCACAAAAACACACATTTTCATCTATTATTATTTCTCAATCTTGAAAACTATATGAGTTTATACCAGTAACTCCAGTTCCAAACCAACACTACAAAGTTCATTCTCATTTTCTCTCTTCATGTTTATAACTCCTTCTAGGGCAGTGAGAAACCTGGCTCCCATTATAACAAATATATTTACTTTTGATCAATATCCCTGAATGTAAGCAATATTCCATTGCTGCTGTCACTGCCGTCTACACAGCCTCCCCCCCCACTTTTTTTTTTTCGGTATGCGGGCCTCTCACTGTTGTGGCCTCTCCCGTTGCGGAGCACAGGCTCCGGACGCACAGGCTCAGGGGCCATGGATCACGGGCCCAGCCGCTCCACGGCATATGGGATCCTCCCGGACCGGGGCACGAACCCGTGTTCCCTACATCGGCAGGCGGACTCTCAACCACTGCGCCACCAGGGAAGCCCTACATAGCCCTTTTTACCCCATTCAGGTTCTGACACCTTATACTGGGACTGTCCCTGTACAAATGCCCTTCTCACCGTGCTCAAGCTGACATCCCTTGGTGGGCAGTCACCATCACCATCCACTGCACAGATGCCTCCCCCTCCACCACTTGGGCTCAGATATCCTGAATGGACCTCCTTTCTGCATGGATTACCCCTCACATTCATTTGGGCTGCTCCTTCACAATGCTCTTCACTGTGTTTTAGTGACACCCAGCTCTGGGTCATGATAGCTTTACCTTGCTCAGCCCCACTTAATGGCTTTTGGATTGAATTGTTAGGGAAGGGATGGTGAAAAAGGAAGAGGACTGGTTTACATTCATTAATTGTTACAATTATAGCCTAAGAAACCCATAGTCTTTTCTTAAGGGGCAGAGAGAGGAATGGGATTAGCAGTATAGTGGGATGGGCAAAGCTTGGACAAAGCATCTCCCAAGACAGAAACTTCAGTATTAAAGTGTATCTCTAAACTCTTTTTCCAAAATCTTTCCTGCTTAGTATTCCTTTGATTCTTAAGGCTTTGTCTTCTTAACACAATTAAGAAGACTCTAGCACATCTGGTACATAGCCCCCAATTTGCTGAATACATGAAAATAATGCATACTTCATGTCATTTGTCTGGCCTAGTTTCCCTCCATAGTAAGTATGGCTCATGTCATACATTTTACCAAAAGCAAAAAAACTTTTCTGCACCTGTGTTAAGAGCAACTAGATAGAATTGAGAAGACAAGCTCAAGTCCTTTCTCATCCACTACCAAGCTAAGGAACCTTATTTAAGTCACTCAACTTTACTGGCCCCATCTCCTCATGGGTAATAATATACATATATACACACAATATATATACATATGATATATATACACACTAGTATTTACTGTGTGCTAACGTCAGGCACAGCATTACATACATTGTTTCAAACAATCCTCACATCAGTCTTATGAAAGAGACCCTTTTATTATCCTCATATTACAAATAAGGAAAAAATAAAGTTCAGAGAACTTAATTTGTCCAAGATTATGCAGCAAGTGGTGGACCCAAGATTTCCAAATCTCAGCTATTAAACCTGATGTCATACCATCTTAAAAACATTTTAAATTCGAGGGGTCATTGATGATTTCTAAGTTCATCCTTGTTTTAAAATTCTAATTTTAAGAAATACTTAACAGATATTAAAGTAAATGAAGTTAAAACAATGAAGTAAAAACTTTTCTAAACGTTCACTCATGCCAGCTATTATAGTAGGTACTGGGCATACAAAGTTGAGACCAGATCTTTGCCTTCAAACAACTAACATACAATCATTATACCATAATGCTGTGATGGTATTACCCACAGAATTAAAAGGAAACAGAGGTGTGGCTGAAACAAAGAAAGGTATTATAAGAGGTTTTCTGGAGGCAATCACCCTTCAGTTTTAAAAATAAGGAGTTAGGCAGAAACATGACTTTCCAGGCAAAGCGATTAGTATGTGAGAAGGCACGGTTACCTTGAAACAGCATTGTGTAATTGGTATGATTGGAACAGGAGTAAACAAGGGGAGGGAGAAGGAAAATTAAAGACACTGAATCACAGGAACAGCTGTTTACCAATTCATGATAATTTCTTTTAAGTACAGTATTTTAGACCTCATATATTTAAAAGAACACGTATCTAGCAACAAATATAATGAACCCCTTGTTTATACTGGTCCAAATAATTCGTTATCAAAGAACTGCTGCCCTGTGCATAAGCCATTTGACTAATCAACATCTACATATTCTTCCTATAGAAATGACTAAGATTAACCGGCATGGCCAACATTCCTCCATTCATATATTAAAAATCTTAAATTACAAAAATGTTTACTGTGAGATATCTTATGCATACAGAATAATATATAAAACACATTTACAATTGATAGAGTGAACAGCCAAGTAACTACCACCCAGGTCAAAAAACTATTGCCAGGGGCTTCCCTGGTGGCGCAGTGGTTGGGAGTCCACCTGCCGATGCAGGGGACACGGGTTTGTGCCCCGGTCCGGGAAGATCCTACATGCCGCGGACCGGCTAAGCCTGTGAGCCATGGCCGCTGAGCCTGCGTGCCCGGAGCCTGTTGCTCCGCAACGGGAGAGGCCACAACAGTGAGAGGCCCGTGTACCGCAAAAAAAAAAAAAAAAAGAAAAAATTAGGCAGGACTTCCCTGGTGGCACAGTGGTTAAGAATCCACCTGCCAATGCAGGGGACACGGGTTCAAGCCCTGGTCCGGGAAGATCCCACAGGCCGCAGAGCAACTAAGTCCGTGCGCCACAACTACTGAAGCCCGCGCATAGAGCCCATGCTCTGCAACAAGAGAAGCCACTGCAATGAGAAGCCTGCGCACCACGACGAAGAGTAGCCCCCACTCGCCGCAGCTAGAGAAAGCCTACACGCAGCAACAAAGACCCAGCGCAGCCAAAAATAAATAAATAAAATTAAAAAACAATAGGCAAAAGAAACAGATACTTCAAAAATGATATCAAAATGCTAATAAATATGAAAGTCATCAGGGAATCCCAAAATAAAACCATGAGATACCATCACACCCACCAGAACAGCTCAAATTAAAGGACAAAAAGACAAAGGTGAAACAATTACAAGTGTAAGCAAGAATGTGAAGCAACTGTAACTCTCATACATTGGAGTTTATTTTGGAAAACTGACATTACCTATTATTATGAACATATACTTACCCTATGGATCAGCAATTCCATTCCTAGGACCTACCCAATCAAAACATATATATGTACATACTAGAAGACAAATGTAAGAATGTTCCTAGAAGCATTATTCATAATAACCCCCAAATGGAAATAACTCAATGGCCATCAACAGTAGATGGATAAATATTATACAATCAAGAAAACAAGCAAAATTAATCTATGGTGTTAAAGGCAGGGAGTATGCTGGGAAATGGTTTGAGGGGAGCTTCTGTGGGGCAGGTAATGGTCTCTTTTTGAACTGGGTATGTTCACTGTGTAAATCCATTAAATTATGTACTAATGATATATGGACTTTTCTTTATGTTTGTTATCCTACAATTTTTAAAAGCTTACTAAGAATGTTCTGGTGATTTTTGGCACAGACTTATCAGAGGTGGAACCTTTTTGTGTCAAATAGGGCTTTTTTGGTAGAAATCCAAATCCAATCGGCCCAAGAGAAAAATACTGGTTTAAACATCGAAATATGATCTACTAGAGCCAAAGTTTCAAAAGCAATCATCAGATCTTTGTCCTTCTCACCTCTCATTTCTGTTTTCTTTTGTGTGGGCTTTATTCTGTCAGGCAGTCAGGCACTCATTTTCCCATGTAACTCTGGAATTACTTCATCTTCACAGTCCAGAATTCTACTGGAAAACATCACTTTAAGTTATGACAAGTCTCAGAATTGGCCTATCTTGAGTCACATACCTTCCTGGAGCTCTTACAGCCCCATTTGAAACACTGGACTAAGAGTAGTGAAGGGTACTTTCTCAAGTGAAAATCAAGGCACTGTTCTCAGAAATGGGGGAGTGAATGCCAAAGAGGCAAAAACATCTGTACATCTGGGGAAGGAGAGAGAAGAAATCCTTAATTTGCAGTTTCTCCCTGAGTTAAGTCAAACTTGGTTAATAAAAGTATTTTGTAACAGAGCTATCACATGATCCAGCAATCCCACTCCTGGGTATATATCCAGAAAAAACCAAAAACTCTACTTGGAAAAGATACATGCACCCCAATGTTCATAACACTATTTACAATAGCCAAGACATGGAAACAACTCAAGTGCCCATCAACAGGCTGGTTTAAGAAGATGTGGTATATATACACAGTGGAATATTACTCAGCCATAAAAAAGAATAAAATATTGCCATTTGCAGCAACATGGGTGGACCAAGAGAAGAACATGCTTAGTGAAGTCAGAGAAAGACAAATACTGTATCACTTATATGTAGACTCTAAAAAATAATTCAAATTAATCTACATACAAAACAGAAAGACTCATAGACCTAGAAAACAAGCTTATGGCTTCCAAAGGGGAGAGGGAGGACAGGAAGGACAAATTAAGAGTATAGGATTAACAGATACAAACTACTGTACATAAAATAAATAAGCAATAAGGCTTTACTATATAGCACAGGGAATTACATTCAGTATCTTCTAATAACCTATAATAGAATCTAAAAAAAAAAAAAACTGAATCACTATGCTATATACCTGAAACACAATAATGTAAATCAATTACACTTAAATAATTTTGTTTTTTAAATATGTAACTTTTCCTATCTAAACCATCCATGCTGCTTTGAGTCTCTGAATTACTGGGAGAGGGAAATCAACAGTTTCTTATCAGATCTCTCCACCTCCAGTCTTTCTCCTAGGCTTTATCTTGCATACTATAGTCAAATGAAACCTTCCCAATATATGGCTTTAGTATGACAACCCTAACAAAGGAATCCAATTCTCCACCAAAGTTGAAGATTTTTAGCCTGTCACTCATGGTCTTCCATGATCTCACCCTAATTCTTTCACAGTTACATTATACTACACCCCTCTGTGTACACAAAGTCAGTGCTTTTGAAGTGTTTGTCACTGTCACTGATATATTTTAAATTATTAGGGTGTAACTGATATTTAATATGTCAGTCAAGAGATACAGGCATTAGCTTTCTTGCTACTTTTCCTTTCTGGTTTAAAAAGTATAACAAAATGATTTATGAATGCTAAATTTGATCTTTTATATATATTTTCTTAAAGACAATATTCTTACTAAACTACGTTTATCCTTCTAAAATAAGACAATGTGGTAACTCTTCATGA